CAGACTAGTTCTACACACAAATATGGCATCAGAAATAGCCATATTTAAAAACCAAAAACCATTTCAGTCTCCTAGTAGACACCCTCAAATTGGCCATCCTTGAAGAAAAAAACATAAACCACATCCAACTTGCGATTCAGCTTAATCCCTTAAGATCTGAATCAGAACAAAGGTTGTCATTTTTTTAATCACACAAGTGTTGTTCCCCCAGGCCTAAATACCCAAAAGGCAGTGATCCTATCTGATCTTGGAAGCTAAGCAGGGTCAGCCCTGGTTAGTGCTTGGATGGGTAACTGTCAATGAATGGCAGGTCCTGGAGGCTATATTTCAGAGGAAGGAAGTGGCACAATCACTTCTGAGTATTCCTTGTCTACAAAAACCCTTTGAAATACACGGGGTTGCCATAAGTAAAGATTAACTGAGATTGTGAAAGCTATGCTCAATAAAATTTGTTTGTCTTCCAAGATATCACAATACTTTTGTCTTGCAACAGGCTAACATGACTGCTCCTTCACCACCAACATTTTTTTAAAAAAAATCTAAAAGGGAGGGCTTAATCCAGAGAAGTAGCATCTGTCAAAATGCGTGGATACTGAGAGGAATACTATAAAGGGAGGTCTCGTGTCCCATGTCTACCAGAAGCCTACTGCTAAAATAGCTTTGCGACAGAGCAGGCTTTCAAAATGGTTAACATAACAAGACAAGGACTATCCAGCAATGATGCAGTGCTACCCATCTAGGAGTGCCAAAACTGAGGTACAGGAGAATTACAGTGGGCCCTTGTTATACATGGGGGATCCGTTCTAGGGCTCCCAGCATATGGGGAAAAACAGCGGGACCTCAAGTCCTGTTGATTCTAATGGCCGCGTGCTCCTACGCATGCACCATTTTGTCTCCTTGGGCTTGCCGTCCACATGAGCTCAAGTGTGCAGATGGCAAGCCTAGATATGGGCCGGGCACACTGCAGTTGCAAAGAGATCTTTTAGCACCTTTGAGAATAACTGAAAGAAATAAGATGGTAGCATGCGCTTTCATAGACTTGAGTCTAGTTCCTCAGATGCATTGGAAATTAGATGCAGAGGAAGTAGACTCAAGTCTCCGAAAGCTCATGCTATTAACTTTTTTCTTTCAGCCTCAGA